TTTAACTTTCTGCAGCCTTACTGATTTGCTTCACAAGGGCAAATATATTTTTGTCTTTTTATTCACTGATATAATCTAAGTAACCTGAATGGTACGTTTGGCATATGGCTGGCACTCAATAAATATTTGTTGCATGAATGACTGAATCCTCTTATGAGAGTTGAAAGGTCTAACCATTACTTCTCCCTGAGTAGACTGCTATTCAACCATATCACAGCATGGGCCAAGGGAGTGCTTATCAGCAGATATAAAAGATTTCCTCAGCAAATAATTTTGAATAGACTCCATGAGCAAAAACAATAGATTGAACCTCTAAATTACTATGTTAAAGAGAGTACCAGCAATGTTTTATGTTGTTCTTACTTGTACTTATTGATCATTATTAGATTTATGTAAAATGGAATATTGAGATAAAAGCCACAATGGAATGCAAGTCTGCAAATATATTTGTTTAAGTATTTAGAATATGATTGAATTAATACTTTTTACACATTTGTCTCTCCAGAAGTTATATCAATTGCAAATCATCAAGAGGTATACATAGAATTATCTGTTGTTATTTCATTACAAAAGAAAAAACACAGCTTTGGCACAATCACTTAGTAGAAAACAGAAGTGAAATCATCACATATTTGATTTCTAAAATTTTAGTTTGTAATGGAAAGGAGCTTATAGGAGTGATTAATTTAAATTGCCATAGTTGGCAAGAAAAGAATCTTGAAATAAGGGTGAATGCTAGTAACTCAGTTTTGACTATAATGTCCAACTTGGAAACACAGCCAGTGGTGGGAGGGGAGGTCTCATTCCATGTTTCACTTGTTCTCATCTATTTTCTGATTTGTGGAAGAATTATTCTTGATAACCCAGATTCATGATTTTCCTTTAGAGAAGCTTCTATTTAAAAAATTATGCAGAATACATACAGAATAAATGCCTGATCCTAGAGACAAAGACCAAAAGAAAATAGTAAGTGCTAAAAGTATTATTGTTATTGCTAATAGGGTTTGGGCCATAAAATATTAAGCAGTTAAAAGTGGATTAGACATGCTTAAATATATTTGGATCCTCAAAATATCATAGTAATATTGATATTTGAAATACAACTTTTTAAATTTTCAATGAAGCTAAACCTAAAGTTTTTAAAAACTGTTCAGGGGGCCAGTGTTATGGCCTAGTGGGTAGCACCGCTGCCTGCAATGTTGGCATCTCATATGAATGCCAATTCTTGTCCTGGCTACTCCACTTGATCCAGCTTCCTGCTAATGGCCTGAGAAAAGCAGAGGAATTTGGCTGAAGCACTTGGGCCCCTGCCACCCATGAAAGAGGTCCGGATGAAGCTGCTGGCTACTGTCTTTGGCCTGGCCCAGCAATGGCCTTGGCAGCATTTGGGGAGTGAAAGTATGGATGCAAGATTGCTGTCTCTTCCTCTTTCTCTGTAACTTGGATTTTCAAAATAAATAAATGATACTTAAAATAATAATAATAGTAATAATAATAATAAAAACTGATCAGAGAAGAAGTAATTCTCTGACAATTAAAATCACCAAACTAGGGGTGGAATTTGGCCTAGCAGTTAAGATGCCAATTCTGACACCTGCATCCCCTATTGGAGGGCTTGAGTTTGAGTCATGGCTCCATTCCTGATTCCACCATCCTGGTAATGTGCACGCTGGTACATAATAGGTTGGGACTCAAATAGTGGGATACTTGCCCTCCATATGGAAGACCTGAAATGATTCTGGGCTTTGATTCTACCCTGGGGCATTTGTAGGCATTTGAGAAGTGAACCAGCAGATGTGGGAGTGCCCCCCCTCAAATAATACATATAAGAAAATAAATAAAATTTATTTTAAAACCATCAAAACATCTAGTTTTTATGTTGATTTTTAAAATATTTTCAAATTTGTAGGAAAATAGGCTATTAAAATATACTTTTCAAAAGGCAATAACCAAAAAAATTTAGAGTACAGAATCTTCATACAGAAAATAAAATATTTATATATTATATAAGTATATCAATAAGGTTACTGTAAGTGAGCATTAGATTTGGCATAAGGAAAAATATGAGTTCAAATCTTGATTCTAATGATGAGTAACTGAACTTGGTTATATTATTTCACTTCTCTGAGCTGTATTTGCTGTTTTTATCTTGTTGAGTTGAGTTTTATGAGACCTGATATATTCTGGATATTAATCCTTTTAATTTTTTTGGATAAGTACCACACAAATAATTTGATTATTCTTGGTTTGTGTTTTCATGCTGTTGAAAAAAGCTTCTGAGTTTGATGTAATCTCCTTTGTTTATTTCTGCTTTTTTGTGTGTGCTTTTGGGGTGTTTTCCAAGAAATTATTGCTTATATCAATGCCCTGAAATGTTTCTCCTGTGTTTTCCTCTAGCAAATTTATAATTTTGTATAGTTTCAGGGTTTTCATTTAGGTCTCTGATCTATTTTAAGTTGATTTTTTTTGTTCATTTGTTTTTTTAAAGATTAATTTTATTTATTTGAGAGTTACAGAGAGAGAGAGAGAGAGAGAGAGAGCAAGAGAGGGAGAAGTCTTCCATCTGCTGGTTCACTCCCCAAATGACTGCAATGACCAGAACTGCGCTGATCCGAAGCCAGGAGCCAGGAGCGCCTTCCGGGTCTCCCACGTGGGTGCAGGGGCCCAAGGAGTTGGGCCAACTTCTACTGCTTTCCCAGGCCATAACAGAGAACTGGATTGGAAGTGGAGCAACCGGGACTTGAACCAGTGCCCATATGGGATGCAAACACTGCAAGCTGGGACTTCAACCTACTGTGCCACAACGGTGCACTTAGGTTGATTTTGTATACAATGAGAGATAGGGATCTATTTTGATTCTTCTACATGTTCAGGTCTAGTTTTATCAGCTTTATTTGTTGACTATCACTACTTCAATGGATGTTTCTGACACTTTTGTCAAAAACCTTTATGTTAGATTGTATTATATGGTGTATTTTCTGGATGCTCTATTCTGTTGCATTGACCTTTGTGTCAGAGTTTGTTGTTTTTGATTTTGTTTTGCCAGAACCGTTATGTTTTCTTTTAAAGATGTATTTATCTGTTTGAAAGACAGTGTTACAGAGAAAGAGAGATCTTCCATCTGTTGGAGTTGGGCTGTTCCAACATCAGGAGCCAGGAGCTTCTTCCAGGTTTCTCACATAGGGACAGGGGCCCAAGTACCTGAGTTATTCTCTGTTGCTTTCCCAGGAACATTAGCAGGGAGCTAGATTGGAAGTGGAGCAGACAGGTTCCAATATGAGATGTCAGCATCATAGGCAGCAGCTTTACCAACTGCACTACACATCAGTACCCCCATTCTGTTCTAATTACAACTTTATAGTATACTTTGAAATCAAGAATTGCAATATCTCCATCTTTATTTGACTTTCTTTTTTCCTCAGGATTAGTTTGATTATTTCAGGTCTCTTTTAGTTTCATGAGAATTTTAGAATTTTTTCCTCATTTTATAAAATAAGTCATTGGTATTTTGACAGAGGTTGCATTGAAGCTATAGATTAGTTTAGTTAACATAGATGTTTTAATGATATTAATTTTTCCAATCCATTAGCAGGTAATTTTTGTTTTTGTGTGTTGTTGATGGTTTCTTTCATCAATGTTTTATACTTTTTCTTGTAGAGATCTCTCACTTCTGAAATACTAAAAATTTTATAGTTATTGTCAAATGGCTTTCTTTATTTCTATTTAAGCAAGACCATTTTGGACGTATAAAAATGCTGATATTGGCCGGTGCCACGGCTCACTAGGCTAATCCTCCACCTGCGGCGCCAGCACCCTGGGTTCTAGTCCCAGTTGGGGCGTGGGTTCTGTCCCAGCTGCTCCTCTTCCAGTCCAGCTCTCTGTTGTGGCCTGGGAAGGCAGTGGAGGATGGCCCAAGTGCTTGGGCCCTGCACCCGCATGGGAGACCAGGAGGAAGCACCTGGCTCCTGGCTTCCGATCGCAGCGCGCTGGCCGTAGCAGCCATTTGAGGGGTGAACCAATGGAAGGAAAACCTTTTTCTCTCTCTCTCTCTCACTAACTCTGCCTGTCAAAAATTAAAAAAATAAATTAAAAAATGCTGATATTTTTATATGCTGATCTTGTATCTGCAACACTATTTAGTCTGTTTATTGGTTCTAACTGCTGTTTCAGTGAAGCATTTAGGTTTATGCACATCTTGTCATATGCAAACATGGATATTTTAATTTCCCTCTTTCCATTTTTGATTCCCTTTATTTCTTTCTGTTCTCTGATTTCTCTTGCTGATGCGTCCAATATTATATAAGAGTGATGAAAGTGGACATCCATGTTTTGTTCCAGATTTGAGGAGAAATGCTTCCAATTTTTCCCCATTCATTATGATATTGACATCTGGTTTCTTACAAACAACCTTTAACATTTTGAAGTATATATCCCTTCCATACCTAATTTGTTGAGGTTTTTGTCATAAAGGGTTGTTGAATGTTAGCAAATGCTTCCTCTGTCTCTCTTAACATGATCATGTGTCTTTTGTTCTTCCTTGTGTTGATGTGATTTATGACATTTATTGATTTGAAAATGTTGAACTACTCTTGCACCTCTGAGAAAATTCAACTTGATCATTAGGCATAGTCTTCTTGATGAAATATGATATTCAGTTGCTAATATTTTGTTGAGAATCAAAGCATCTATTTTTATCAAGCGTATTGGTCTGTAATTCTCCTTTGGTGTTGTGTCTGGTTTTGGTAACAGGAAATGCTGCCCTCCTAAAATGAGTTTTGTTGAATTCCATAATTTTCAATACTTTGAAAAGTATTAAAGCTAGTCCCCCTTAAAATTCTTTTCAGAATTGAGTGGTGAAAATGTCAGATTCTAGACTTTGCTTTTACAGGAAGCTTTTAATTACATTTAATTCCATCTTGTTACTTGTTATATGTCTATTTACAGCCTCTATATATTCTATATATTTAATCTTATTGGGTTATATGTATCCAGGAACTTACCTATTTCTTCAAGACTTTCAATTTGTTAGCACATAGTTGTTCAAAGTAGTTTCTCATGATCCTTTATATTTCTGTGGTATCAATTGTAATATCTTCTTCTCCTCTCTAATTTTATATATTTGGATTTTTTTCTTTTTTCTCGTTAGTCTGGTGAAAAGAGTGTCTATTTTGTTTGCCTTTAAAAATAGTTTTAATTTTGTTCATTTTACACAAGTTTTTTTGTTTCAATTTCACATATATCTGCTTTGAGTCTTATTATTCCTGGCCTATTAGTTTCAGGGTTTGGTTTATACTTGTTGTACAAAATTTCCATTTTAATAATTCAGTAGAGGTTTCCTTTTACACACTCAAAGAAGATGTACTGGTCTCCTTATATAAAAAAGGGAAGACTTTGGGGCAAGTATATTAAAGTCATTCAGTTTTTGCAGATAAATCTTCTCATCATAGAGCCTTTGCAATACAGAGTCAAATCCAGGTCTACTAGCATTTGATTATCTATGATGAAAGAATCCAATGAACAAACTGGAGTTCTCTCTAGCGCCTAGAGGGAACATGGCAGCATGTCCAGCAGTGAAAATGGTTAGCCCCATAGGTGGCTGACCCATTGTTAACTGTTTATGTTAAAAAAAAAAAACTCACAAAATGTTTCCACAGTATTCTTTCGACTGCATTTTATTTCAAGCCACTGATCTATGTGCAGCAAGCAGCTTATAAATAAAATCAGTCTATTAACGGTGTCATCACATTCGACAGAATCACTGAATTCTCAATCATTACATGAAAGCTCGTGTCTTGAGAATCTCTGAGTTCTATTATTTATAGGATACCTGCGATGTACCTTGCTCCAATTAACATTACCATGCTAGTCAGTATAAAAAAACTCAAGGGCAGACTACAGAAAATATTAGGGTCACCACATGCTGGCGACTGCATTGTAACCCAACCCATTGATTTAATCACTGCCTTCTTCCACATAGAATAATGAACTTCACTTTCCTCAGCATTGATCTGAGGTTCAAACCTCTCAGTCGTTACAGCTGATAAATCCTCGGGTTCAAGACTCCAAACACCGACTCCTTCTGCAGCCCCTGCTGCCATGGCCACTCCCAGGGCAGTTGTTTCGGGCATGGAGGGCTTGACTACTGGAATAGACAGAATGTCTGCCTGTAGCTGCATCAGAATTTTGTTGCTGGTCATTCCTCCATCGACCTGCAAGTGACTGAGTGGAATTCCACAGTCGCGATTCATGGCATCCAGAATCTCTCGGGTTTGGAAACAAACGGCTTCTAATGCAGCAAACGCAATATGGCATTTGTTGGTGAACTGGGTGAGTCCACAGATTATCCCTCTTGCACTGGGCTCCCAATACGGTGCATATAACCCTGAAAATGCTGGGACTAAGTAGCAGCCACAAGATGTACCTACTTCTTTAGCAAGTTGTTCAATTTCTTCTGAGCACTTAATGATTCCAAGATTGTCTTTTAGCCATTGAATAACAGCACCAGCTATAGCTACAGAACCTTCTAATGCATAGTACACTGGTTTGTCTCTGCCAAGCTTGTAAGCCACTGTGGTCAGAAGGCCATGTTCAGAAAACACACACTTACGGCCCGTGTTACACAGTAAGAAACATCCTGTTCCGTAGGTGTTTTTGGCTTGGCCATCCCGGAAGCACATCTGCCCCACCAGTGCAGCCGACTGGTCCCCCAAACAACCAGATATTGGCACACCTTCCAAGGACCCAGCTTTCATGAGACCATAGATCTCAGAAGAACTCCGGGCATCTGGAAGAATTTCCATTGGAATTTCAAAAAACTCACAGAGCTCTTTATCCCACGCCAAAGAATGAATGTTGAAAAGCATCGTCCTACTTGCATTTGTGACATCCGTACAGTGAACACCCCCGTTGACTCCTCCTGTCAAACTCCAGATAAGCCATGAATCAATGGTCCCGAAAAGAGCTCTATTTTCTTCCACAGCCTTTTGAACTTTCCTTACATTGTCCAGGAGCCAACGGAGTTTCATTGCGCTGAAGTAAGTGCTAAGCGGAAGGCCTGTCTTGGACTTGACAAAGTTGTTATTTCCTGGAGTTCTCTTCCTGAGAGTCTCGACAGTAGACTGGGTCCTCAGATCAAGCCACACCACAGCATTGTAGAGGGGCTCTCCAGTTAACTTGTCCCAGACGACAGTGGTTTCCCTCTGGTTGCTGACACCAATAGCCTTGATGTTGGCGATATCAATACTGAGCCGCCCGAGCTTCTCACATGTTTTCTCTATACATTCGTAGACAGACTGTAGAATTTCCTTAGGGTCTTGTTCCACCCATCCTTCTCTTGGAAATTCTTGCTTTATTTCTACCTGGTGATGACTAAGGAGTTCCGCTGTTTTGGAATTAAAAACCAAAAAGCGCGTGGAGCTGGTACCCTGGTCTATGGCCCCCACAAGTGGCCCCAAGACTGATTTCTCCGCGGCTGCCATGAACCAGGTTCGGGTTGGCTGTGATCCCAGCTGGTTTCCCGGGTGACGGCGTCGGAGGGGGCGGGGCCAACGTGGGCGGGGCCTGGGAGAGCAGGCAGGGGGCGGCCAGTGGAGGATGAGTTGTCTTTGCGTCTCCTTAGACTCCTACAGATGCTCACTGGAGAACTGGGCTGCTATAGACAACGGCAAACAGAGGTAAGTGTGGATGTCACTGTCAACTTTCGTATTATTATTGGGTCAAAAGTACTGGATATTAAGGAAAAAAACTTTTGAGTACATTTTTCAAAAGGAAATGTTGACTCTGTAGTTCTGTCCCCCAAATTTCCACCGTGTTCATACTAATAAGACAACAGGACGGGAAGTAAGATATTTTCCTTATGATAGGATTTGGGGAGTCCAGACTACTAGCATGGTCACTCCTTTTTTTAGGGACTGAGTGGTGTACTTTATATACCTTTAAGGAGATGTCTTCCAAAACTGAATTGAGTGCATTGCCTGAAATGGAGTTTCTTTAGTGTCCGGTGGCCAATGCAAGTGGCATGGGAAGTTGGAAGGCTTTTTCTGTAAAATTTGATACAGTGCTGCTGGCTTAGATACAGCCTTTTAGAAAGAATGATTTTATGATAGAATCACTGAGAGCAATATGAAAGTACCATCACCACACAATGTCACTTGGAGCCAAAAATGGCCACATTTCAGTTTCCTCAAAGATACAAATGGAGTACTAGAATCAAAGTAATGTATGAAAGGGTTTATCATAGTCCTTCTATGTAATAAACACCCTCTGTTTCTTCTTTCTTTTGTCTAGGTGCTAATTTACTGCTCTTTATTCTGTATATTGTTTTTTATGCACCATGCTTGTTGTAAGGTATATTTTCATGGTTATTTCTTTCAAAATATATTAAATGTTATTATACTACTGTATGAGGATGTTTCCAAAAGCTCATGGAAAAAATAAAGCTGAAAGATAATTTGAGTTTTCCATGAATTTTTTGAAACTCTGACATAAATCTGATTATTATTTAGGAAAATTTCTTTAAATCTTAGAAATGCAATTCACTGAAACATATATTTCTTACAATAGTGCTAAATAATTCCAAAATATCCTGTATCTAGTCTCGGTCTCAGGAATCCTTTTACAGTGGCATATGTTAGACACTTTACTCATATACGTTACACAAAAGCATGGAGTTGTACACAGGAAACAAAAATAAAACAGCTGGGTGTTATGCAAGGTGCTGAGTATGAGAAGATACTGTTTATTAACTCTGTGCCCCTGGCTATGTTGTTATTATGCTTCTGAGTCTTATTGTTTTCCTATCAGAAACATGTGTGATACTATTCCTTAGGGTTTCTGAGAAAATTAAATTAGATAATTTATGTAAAATTATTTTCCACACATAAAATGGTATGAAACTTTTTGGTATAACAAAATGACAAGTTTTGAGGAGAGAGAGAGAGAGAGAAACTTTGAGTTCTCAGTAATTGTAGTCATTTGATAATGGATATTCAACTCATGATATCATGGTGAAAATAGAAAACTGAACCCTAATGCTGCCTATTATAAACTGTGAATCAGAATGTATAGATGGAGACATATAAGAAATATACAGCACAGGTCTTCAAGGGAAGGAACCATAAAAACAATGTGGAAGGTTTGGATTTTATCCTACCTGCAAGCTAACAAGTGCCAGCCCTGTGAATTGGTGTGTAGGTACAGTCAGATTAGGTCACAGATGAGGGACCCAAAGTTTAGAAAATCACAATCATATCTAGTAAATGAGAAAGCCCACCCAGCATCTGCCTGGGGGGACCATCATTTCCTGTTGCGGAAACTAGTGTATGACCTCTCTTTCAGAAAGGAGACACTATATACTTGTTCCAAGGTTGCTTTCCATACAAGCATACTGGAAATAAATAGAACAAAAGCCGTCAACAACTCTTCAACAGAGAGAAATGCAAGAGACCCATTGAAAATTCTCCCAATGGAAGTATATGCTACACATTTGCCATCAGTGGCAATGGCAGTTTTTATTTGTGATTTTCCTGCAAAGCATAAAAACTAATAGGACTTCTAAAAAGAATGTTTAGGAAACTAAAAAAAAAAAAAATGACATTTCCTTCTGTTTACCAATAAGAAAGAAAATATCCTATGTGAATTAAATAACTGGAGAGGCAAGAATAATCCCAGTGTTCATGATAAATGATGACATTTTTGGTAATTTCTAAATGAAATGACATTCACCAATCCTCTTGAACTACCTTTTCACCTTGAAATAAGATTCCATCATTTGTAGCATTCACCTCTCAGAGATGGAATAAAAACAACCTAAATGAATCTCTTTGACTTGTAAAATCTGATAGCAAGAACCAGATAATATGAATTGCACATTTTCCAAAAAAGACTTGATGGCTTAATAAGAGCATTTGGGACATTCTAAGTACAAAAATGATTAATCCATATTAAAATATAAATCACTGACAAAAGCATGTCACCAGTCAGTATAATATTGCTAATTGCCCATTTCAAGGAATGATCCAAGTGTAAGAATTTCCCTGACATTTTCCTCAGGCAAGGTAATTGAGAAAAAATCTATTTAGTCTTTTTTCAATTTCCTTTTTATGTTAAAGAACCTCATTTACACCCTCTTTATAAAGTAATCCCACTGGTTTCCAAGCTGGCTTGCTTCTTTTAATAGAATCTTAGCACCCAAGTCATGGTTATTTATTTTTATTCTGTCTGATTTCTAGTCCTGATTCCATATGAAGGAAAAGAGCAAAACAAAATTATCTACGACAGAATCTCTGAGCTGCTTCCAGGGTTGAGTCCTGGGTAGTATTCTGATTTTGACTTTCTGTGGTTCGTGGGCATTAAAACTGAAAAATGAACAAGACTGATAGCGAATTCAAACTTTAATGGCTTGTAAACTTGAATGATTAAAGAAAGAGACTCATTTTTCGATTAGTAGGTCTGAAGTGTCCTATGCTATATATGTCATCCAGAATCTTAATCTATAATCCAAATGACTATTTTTTGTGAACAAAATCTTTGAGAGATACATCATGAACAGAATCTGAATACAGATTAATGTAATGTCACATAAACTCAATTTAACAAAGGTTATCTGCGAGGCCCGCAGTGTCAGGATGGTGGGGTGATAGCGTTCTTCAACAAGAAACCCCAGAGACAAGTTTCAGTGAACATGTCTGTCTACTAACAATCAAGCATAAACTTTTAAAGGGCAGGCAGAGGGGAAGGAGCTAGTTCAGGGCAACACTAATTCTATAGGATAAAGCTGATACTGATACCTCTACACTTCTCCAATCAGCTTGAAGGTCACAAAGACAAAGTAGCCTTCCAGGTGTCTAGGCCACACCCAGTGCTGTTTACTGGATTGACAATTACAAAGCCCTTCAACAGGAAGTGGGGGTGGGGAAATGTGCCTGGGGCTCCTGCCTCCTGCCAGCAGTCTGGTCACAGGGTCCTTCCTGTGAGGCATGGTGTGCCATGCCCTCTTAACCTCCTGCATGGGCTAAGCAGGCAGTCTCCCAGCAAGGCACAGGGTCAACCACAGTTATTCATTAGAGATGTGTAATAATCTTAAAAGCAAAGAATAGCATTAAGATATCTCAGCAGTGTAGTTGGGGGTTGGTGGTGTGGCACAGAAGGTTAAGCCACTGCTTGCAATGCCAGCATCTGATATGGGAGTGTTGGTTCCTGTCCTGGTTGCTTCACTTCAGATCCAGTTGCCTGCTAATGCACTTGTGTAGCACCGGATGCTTGTCCAAGTGTTTAGGCTTCTGAGTTCCTGGCTCCTGGCTTCAGCTGGCCCAGCCTCAGCTATTATGGCCATTTGGGGAGTGAATCAGCAGATGGAAGATATCTCTCTCTACTTCTTCCTCTTTTTCTGTCACTCTGTCTTTTGAATAAATAAATTTTATAAACGCAATTGGAGGGGAGAGACATTATCTACTTCTAACCTCATGGTTGTTGACTGGCTTCAGTTTCCAATCAGCTGGGCATTGGCACAGGGCTATTTTATTAATGGCTGCAAGCATTCCTTTTGTCCTACCCCACAACATCGCAGCTAGTTTCTGTGAGAAAAAGACAATACAGAAGAAAGGGGGAGAGAGCAGCCACCATGAAAATCAAATTTGCATCATTGTATCTCAGAAGGACATGACATCAATTCTGTTGTCTTCTATTGGTTGGAAACCCACCTTCAAGAGGAGAGGAGCCATCAGAATTAAGAAAGCCTGGTGAGCGTTATTGGTGGCCATCCTGGAGCCTGCTTACCACATTGATCTTCTCTTTAATCTCCAAATTCCCTTTGAGCACATTCAGCCTCTGCATCCATGAATACAGTTGTCCTCAACATCTAAGTTTTAGCAGTAACAGGAAATCAACCATAGCCTCACTGTGTTATTGGTGTTCGACCAAATGAATGGGTTCAAATACCTATTAAAAGATCCCTTGGGTTGTAGGTCTCTGACATTATCTGACAGAAAATCCAAATAGGTGTTTAATGAACAAAGATTTATTTCTCAACTATCTATCTCTATTCTGTAACCACTGAAGACCACATGTGCCCAACTCACACTTTCTGTGTCATTCTTGTCTTCAGAGAAATGAGAGAATTTTAAATTTACTAGAGGATGACTGTTTTTTACCTTCTGTTTTCTGCTACTCAGATTCTCATTTTAGTGCCTGATTCTCACAACCTAATACCCTTGTACCTTGTCTTTCTTTGTACACTACTTCTGGAATATGCCATTTTGTTTTGATACATATTTTTATGTTTCATTACTTGTTTTAAATTTGTTGTCTGCTGCATATTTGCTTGACTGTTTGGTTTCATATACTTCACTTTAGAGACTCAGATGAATTGTTCATTCCACATGTACTTCAGTAGGTAGAATACTGTTAGATGTTTAATAATGCTTTTAACACTTTTTCATTTTTAATACCATCTGATACTTTATTGTTTTCATGTTAATGTGATATTAATACAAACAGAACACATTCATTGTAGTTCAAGATACAATTCTAAGAATAGAATGATATTCCCTTTCTTCCTGCCTTCTTCACTTCTACTCCCCATACATCCCTCCTGTCTCTTTCTTTCTTAATTTTTGAGATAACATATTTTTAATTTACATTTTAGTCAAATGCTTAATGCTCCACTAAATAAAACATTCAACAATTAAAAATACCCTAGTGCAGTAGGGGTGATGATTTTAAAATTTACTGTATATGAATGAAATGGTCATCATTTCATTTGACTTTTTATAGCTTTTGCCTAACACTTTTTATATTTAATATAATAATTACGAAAATACTCATCTAATTAATAATTAAGATAACATATTTTTAATTTACATTTTAGTCAAATGCTTAATGCTCCACTAAATAAAACATTCAACAATTAAAAATACCCTAGTGCAGTAGGGGTGATGATTTTAAAATTTACTGTATATGAATGAAATGGTCATCATTTCATTTGACTTTTTATAGCTTTTGCCTAACACTTTTTATATTTAATATAATAATTACGAAAATACTCATCTAATTAATATTAATAACATCATTAATAATATTAATATTAACAATTAATTAAATAAATAATAATTAAGAGTTTGATCTTACCATTTTATAATTGAGAAATTTAAAACTTGAGAAAGTAATTTGTTTTTACTTCTATTTAATGAATGAACAAGTATTAAATAAATATTTTGTTACCGCTTATGTTGAAGTCTATACAAGCAGCCAGTGTTGTGGTGTAGTGGATAGTCACTGCCTGTGACACTGACATCTCATGCTCTCACTCATACAAAAGGAGAAACAGGAAGCATAGTCCTCAGTGTAGGATAGCATCGCTTGGCACATCGCTTGGCACTGGTTTGTGTCCTGGCTGCTCCTCTTCCCATCCATCTCCCTGCTAATAGCCTGGGAAAACCAGAAGACAGCTCAAGTGCTTATGTGGCTGCTGTCCACCCTGGGGGACCTAGGAGAAGCTCCTGGCTCTTGGCTTCGGCCTGGTGCCCTGCTGGCCATTGCAGCAATCTTGGGAATGAACCAGTGGATGGGAGATTTCTCTTTCTTCATCTCTCATTCTCTGTAACTCTTTTAAAAAAAATAAATATTTTTAAAAGTCTATCCAAGGGACCAGCACTGTGGTGTAGCAGGTAAAGCCACCGCCTGCAGTGCCAGCATCCCATATGGGTGCCTGTTCAAGTCCCAGCTGCTCCACTTCCCATCCAGCTCTCTACTATGGCCTGGGAAAGCAGGTGAAGATGGCCCAAGTCTTTGGGCCCCTGCACCCATGTGGGAAGACCCAGAGGAAGCTCCTGGCCCCTGGCTTCAGATTGGCACAGCTCCAGCTGTTGCGGCCAATTGGGGAATGAGCCAGCATATGGTAGATCTCTCTCTCTCTCTCTGCCTCTCCTTCTCTCTGTGTGTAACTCTGACTTTCAAATAAATAATTAAATCTTAAAAAAAAAAATCTATCCAAGTAAATCTTACATTATGTTAAACTACAAAAATGGAAACTACATAATGTTTTTGTAAGGAATGGAAACTTTTAAAAGTTCTCTCTCTCTCTCTCTGACTGCATCAGAACATATAGGAAGAAGCTTGTTTCAGAAAGAATGAGTGCTGGTTTAAAACCTGGCTGTTCTATTTCTGATCCAGCTAATGTGGCTGGGAAAGTGATGGAAGATGCTCCAAGTGCTTGGGTCCCTGCTCCCACATGGAAGACCCAAAAGAACTTCTGGGCTAGGCCATTGTAACCATTTGGTGACTGAACCAGCAGATGAAGAGTCTCCTCGCTCTGTCTCTCCCTTTCTGTAACTCTCCCTTTCAAATAAATAAAAATAAAACTTTAAAAAATACATATCTGTATGTTAGTCTTGGTAAGCCTAGGGTTTACATTCTGTATTGAAAAATGTAACATACATACTGATATTAGATATTTTGCTGATTTTCAGGAATGTTGAATTCATCTCAGTGTTTGTAACATGCTTCTTGTTACTCTGTGCAAGGAAAATTAGCCTGTCATCCATGAATTTAGAGCTAAAAATAACAAAATGGAGGCAGGGGTACCGTGATAAACATTAAGGAAGTACACTGACGTGGTAAGCAGTAGACAATTTAAATGGTACTATTCAATTCAGTAAACTGGCTTTTTGCATGAGGAATTTAAGTAGTCAGTGAAATTTTAGAAATGCATACACCATTCTTAAATGGAACTTGTTTGGATACGGAAAGATGTTTCTGATTTATTTTTCCTAGAAAAGAAAAAAAATCTACACCACCATCTTCTCTTAATCCTTTCATCTCTGAAGTGTATCATATACAAATAACATTGCCAACACTTAAAATAATCAATTTTATTTCTTTGAATATATTTGATTATTTTGTAGAGCACTCTAGAGAGAGAGAGAGAGATTCCTCTATTATCTAATATTCTTCCCCCTCCCTTTCTATATGTAATTCTTTAAACAATAAAATATTAGTACTACACAGAGTTTCTAAACCAAAATTAAATTCACACTTCAATCTGAGCCATTTCTGTAAAGGATTGAGAAGGAAGTTAATTGTTCTGGGATTCCACTCATTGTCAGGAGGCCTACATACATTTTCCTGTTTATACTCACATGTTACAGGGGGTGTTATATAAGACCTGTGATAGATGCTTTATCCTCTCTGACTTGGTCACAGATGAATCTTTCTTCTCTTCTATATGATCCTCTGTTATTCCTTACATCCTTTTACCAGTGGATCAGGTACCAGCAGTGTAGTTTCTCCTCTGTTGGAGGAGACTCCGTGTCTCTACCTTGTGTACTCTCACTGCCACTCTGCCAATAAAGAATTATCCTCTCATCAATCCCCCTCCCAGCTGTTTTGGTCAGCAGCTAGTCTTGCCTATTCTCTGTGTTTGTGGAGCTGCCCATATCTTGATTTTAGACTGAAGGACTTCTGCTCTGTCTCCCATCCTCTCTACTTCCTTGTGAATGACTCCCTCATTTCCTTAAATTCCATGATCCTTGGGCTCTTCCCTCCCTTCTCAGAACTACAAAAGTAGAAGATCTCACAGATCCCATTGACTCCTGGGTCTCACTCTGATCCCACTGTCTCCTCTCCTTTGATGGAAAGCTTCTTGGAAAGATGCTGTGCACTCTCCTCCTGTTCGTTGCTCAGATCACTCCAACCTGATTGACAGTTGTCTCCACCTCCTCACTGAGACAGTTATAAATGGGGTCACCAAAAACTTTCTGCTCTCTGAATTTCAAATGCAGTATTTCTCAAATGACATAAACTGGACCTCACCTTCCAGTTCTTTGAGTGGCTTTTAATGCTTATTCATAGGTCAACTTTGTCTCATTTCATTTTTCAAAAACTATTATGAGTTTTTCATAAATGATCCAAGTTAAATTTAGTGTACATTGTACATTTGATTGCTCAAATATATTAAACTTTACACCATGTGACAAATAAGATCTTTCAGTAAACCCAACCACTCATCACATACCATTTACAGAGATATTGTAAAACAGTAGCTCCTTTCCCCTTAGTTCTATTTCATTTCCCATAGTTTCAGTTACCTGTATTGGAATGAAGCTTGAAAATATTAAAGGGAAATTCCAGAACTAAATAATTCATAATTTTTAAGTAACTTGTATTATGAATATACTATCATAATTGTTATATTTTAATATTAGTGTCTGTGATTAATATCTTACTTGCCTAATGTATAAATTAAACTCTACCATAATAATATTGCATATATAGAGCTCAGGACTAGCGGTAATTTCAGGCATCCACCACGTGTCTGGAAATATAGCCTCTGTGGTTAAGGAGGTCTGCAAATGAGAAGTTACCAAAATTACTAAGATGGCCTCTTGCAATAAGAAGTAGAAATGAACTCCAGTCAAGCCTTGAAAGATTATGAGTTAAAATCTTGTTTTAGCAACTAATTGTTCTAATTATTTTCAACGTTACTGATGCCAGGCAGAAACGAGAATGCTGAGGGCAGAAGTTCAACACATCTGTGCCAATATTGGTGATTTACTAGTCCTGTTTGTTCTGTTGAAAAGGAAAAATCAGTGTGTGGTGTCATTATGAATCTAGGGCCCTATGGATTTCCCATACCAGTTACCTAGAGATTAGAGAGATGATGTTTTATGCATGGAAGATTAGGATGAACAAAGAATGTTAAGTTCAATAAATGTATCAACTAAAACATGCATTGTCAAGTGCTGCCTGGCTCACTGCAAACCCATTTGCATTCAACTCATTTGTTCTAAGAGACACCATGCACAGCCACTCACACACAAATACACAGAAACTAACCATGGTTGCAATTCTTTCATCTGTGTGGCTTTTATTCAGTTATGTATACAATATACTTTTTTACTTATGTACTTTATTTATTTATTTATTTATTTTGACAGGCAGAGTTAGTGAGAGAGAGAGAGAGAGAGACGGAGGGAAAGGTCTTCCTTTTCCGTTGGTTCACCCCCCAAATGGCCGCTACAGCCAGCGCGCTGCTCTGATCTGAAGCCAGGAGCCAGGTGCTTCCTCCTGGTCTCCCATGGGGTGCAGGGCCCAAGGACCTGAGCCATCCTCCACTGCCCTCCCAGGCCACAGCAAAGATCTGGACTGGAAGAGGAGCAACCAGGTCAGAATCTGGCGCCCCAACCGGGATTAGAACCTGGGGTGCCGGCACCACAGGCAGAGGATTAGCCTAGTGAGCCGCGGAGCAGGCGTACTTATGTACTTTTTAAAAATGGAGTTACAAACTGGAGTTGAATAGTTGCACATTCTTTCAGCTCTCTATCATGTATTTCATTATGTGTTATGCTGTCTTTGTGAGAGCAGCTCTGTGCTTGTCCTTACTTTTTACTCCACAATATAGAGTCACTGCTCTTATTTGAAGTTTGTCCAGTTCAACTAAATCTGCAAAAAATGCTTCATGAAGAGAAGTTTTCCAATTTCTCTTTATCACCTTTAATAGTGGACAATGTTTGTTTCTTAACAATAGACATGATGAAATACTTGGTTTCTGTGTCAAATGCATTGTCAATTGATTACTTTGCCACAAGAAAAGTTAGCAAGGGTTTCCCCAGGCAAAGTGCAATGGGAGAAATTACCCTGGTCTCTTTGTTAGTTTTAACCTCTTCTCAGCCCCCCACCACCTGCAGTGGCTCCTCATTAAGCTGCTTCTGCTCACCATGCTCTTGCGACTTTTTCTTTCCCTTTCCCCGGTAACAATTGGAACTGAAATCAAAAAGAGGAGAAAATTCATTTTCAGTGCAGACATTTTAAGAAGAGCAACATTTCAAAGAACTTGAAGCCCAGAGCTACTGGTTAAAAAACAGATTTAAAGTTGAACACCATCCGAGGAGTTAAATTATAAAAAGTGCTGGTCTCTCCTGCACAAAATGGAATGCAGTACTACTTTTGAAGGTATTGGACAAGGTTCAGAATACAATATTTTACTTTCATTTTCTGTCTCTTGGGTCATGCATTTTAAGAAGCAGAAATCTCTTCAAAATATATGATAGTCCTATTTTCAGTCTCTTTTTAATTAATAGTTTCTTTACTTGCCAAGTATGAATTATCTTAATCATCTTCATAATGACCTCACAATATGTTATGTTAACTTATGTTGGAGCCACTAAAGAAATTGGAAAACAGTAAGAAAAATAATGCTGATTAAACCATGAAATCCAAGTACAATTCAATTGAGTTGAATCTTACCCCACATTTCCACCTGCATTTCCCTAAGGATATTTCAACTATGACATTTCTCAGAAGACCCCTACTGCAATTATTTCTCCATCTTTTTTTTCCTTTCCTTTATCTTCAAAGCTCATTTAGAGGTCGACAGTGTCTCATTTTATTTTCAAAAGCTGTTACGGTATTTTATAAATTGTTAATGCCCAATGAAGGAAGGAATCTAGATCTGCTTATTAGGATTAACACAACTACTGTAAATTATGTGCAGAACAAGCTAAATAAACAATGTAAGTTATAGCAAAGGAGAGAGGTGACAGAAAGACAAGCCATGTGCCTGGACACCACAGCTCTCCTATCTGGGTGTTGTTGTGAGAGCCCAAATGTCTTGCATGTTTTGAAATATAGTAGTTGACAATATGCCTCCTAATTCAAATTAAGTATTAAATAATTCTGTCTAATGATAACCTTGTACTTCTATACTTTTTGAAGTTTAGAAGTTTATAAGTAGTTCTACTAATATATACACATAACAATGTTTTATATAGGTGTGAGATCATTTTATGAGCTTTGAAAAGTGAAGTTTCAGAGCAAAAACGATGTGTCCTTTGCAGCATTTATGTACATATAAATACTCTTGAAAATTTCCCCTTGAAAGTTCATTAAGTGGAGGTGATTCTAACTTGTTTACAAAAATCCTGCATACATTTTTATAACTAGAAGCAACAGATGAAACAAATGGGGAATGAAATCCTCATAGAAAATATTAAATTACAGTAAAGAACTTATTACAGTGCATCTAATCTCTATTTGAAGGCTGTCATTTCTCTAAAGCATAGCCATAAACCAAATTAACTCGAACTGATGCTCCCAATGAGAAGCTGTGTGTATGAGTTTATGCCTAATAACATCTTTAGCTCTGGCTGAAAATGCTCACCTGAAAAGACTCATCTCAACCCTGCCTCCTACTGTAAGTTAATTATGTAACTAGGGTAAAACCTTGCAAATGGGTCTGAATGTTCACCAAAGAAAACACCTCCTTTTATACATTCTTGCAATGATTTCCTGTCATTGCTTTGAAAGGTAAACCCACTTCCTCCTGTCTTTCAATTCATGCCCTTTTTAGGTTTGACATAGCCAGGTGCTTCCTCCTGGTCTCCAATGCGGGTGCAGGGCCCAAGCACTTGGGCCATCCTTCACTGCCTTCCCGGGCCACAGCAGAGAGCTGGACTGGAAGAGGAGCAACCGGGACAGAATCCGGCCCCCCAGCCGGGACTAGAACCCGGGGTGCTGGTGTCGCAGGTGGAGGGATAGCCTAGTGAGCTGCGGCACCGGCGAATTATAAAGTTTCTGATACACACTTGCTCTGGGAGAAATAATATCAATTTATGAACAAAACTGAAAAAATATTTTATTAAAGCAAATGCTAACTGTATGTAGAGCTTTCTTTTTTTTTTTTTTTTTTTTTTTTTTTGGACACAGGCAGAGTGGACAGTGAGAGAGAGAGAGAGAGAGAGAGAGAAAGGTCTTCCTTTGCCGTTGGTTCACCCTCCAATGGCCACCGCGGCTGGTGCGCTGCAGCTGGTGCACCACGCTGATCCGAAGGCAGGAGCCAGGTGCTTCGGGACAGAATCCGGCGCCCCGACCAGGACTAGAACCTGGTGTGCCGGCGCCGCAAGGCAGAGGATTGGCCTAGTGAGCTGCGGCGCTGGCCACTACTTCTTAACGCATTGAAGAAAATTAAGTACTTACTTTGTTTTCTTTTTCAAAACACTTTTTTCCAATGTTTATAATTATAAAACTAATGTATATTTATTGTAATATTTGTAGAATTCAGAATGCTATCAATCAAAAAATAAAATTCCACCTTCCCATCAATGGAAGAAATATCCTTTTATTTTTTTTTCTGTGAGATTATGCATATTTCCTGTGATTTTTCTCTGTCAATACACATACACCTTTTTTTCTCTTGCTCTCTCATTTTCCTTTTCTACGTATTTTTTTCCTGAAAGTGGGTCTTTCTTAGCTTTAAATTTTCTGTTTTATTTATTTATTTATTTGAGAGGCGGAGCTACAGAGAGAGAGAGAGAGAGAGAGAAAGGGAGAGAGAGAAGTGAGGGATGGAGAGAAAGGTCTTCCATTCGCTGGTTCACTCTCCATATGGCTACAGCATGCTCAGAGCTGAGCTGATCCAAAGCCAGGAACCAGGAGCCATGGGCAGGAGCTTCTTCCTGGTCTCCTGTGTGGTACTGTGGCCCAAGCATTTGGGCCATCTTCCACCTCTTTCCCAGTCCATAAGCAAAGAATCAGAAGAGCAGCTGGGACACTAGGCTATTAGGAAAAAAGAAAAAGACGCATTTTGGTTTTGAATTTTCTTGCATGTGTGCATGTTTGTTTGGACTTTTTGGGGTGGGATGTATGTAGAAGAGAGAGTAAAACAGAGGTAAGAGAGAGAACCAAAGACAGTAGCGATGATATAATATGATGATCGCCAAACATTTATCCATGAAATTATTTTCTGTTCACAATAGTATTTGTTTCTTGACATCTGAGATTCCTGAGGGAATGGTTTAAAATTGCAGTCATTCACACCATTCTTTAATAACCAACTTCCTTTTTCTTAAAAATCACTTTTGCTGGGGTGGGCATTGTGGTGCTGCAGAAGATTAATCTACCTCTTGGGATGTCCTCATCTTGAATGAGTGTCGCTCCCCCTCTTCGTGGAGGAACGACACAGGACCCTGCGCTGTTCTTTTCGTCTGCTCGGCCCTCCCCGGGTTTGCTGCTGGTTCTTCCCGGGTTGGCTACTATCCCTTCCACCTCTGTGGAAGGGCAGTTCCCCCTGGCCACATTCCCCACTTCCGCAGGGGAGCGGCACACCGCCGGCCGGCTCTCTGGGGGCTGCACAGGTGTTCCCCTTAGATGTTCCCCTTAGATGTTCCTGGTGCATGCCGTCTCTCTCCTCCTTTATAGTCCTCCTCCGCCAATCCCAACTCAGCTGCCCACACGCCGAGTACGCTGCTCTCCAATCAGGAACAAGTCCTACAGTTTATTGGTTGAACTGGAGGCAGCTGTGTAGAAGCTGTTTTCTCTCCCAGCGCCATATTGTGGGAGAGCAGATGCACAAAATAAGTCCTAATTCCAGTAACTTAGTCCAGTCCGGGCTGCTCCCCACAGATCCCCCTTTCTTTTTATTTTTGGTGTTGATACGTGCCTGTCTTCGGTGCCCCGTGGCACACACTCTGCTCTACTTGCTAGAGTTGCCACAGGTTCTTACAAGTCCTATCAATCAGGCAAACCGAATCCGGGTCCTCTCTTCGCCATGTTGTGAGGAGGTTTTTAGGTGCTGATGCGTGCCTGTATTCGGTGCCCTGCAGCGCATGCTCTGCTCTGCCTGCAGGGGCTTACAAGCCCTAACAATCAGGCAAACCGAATCCAAGTCTTCTCATTGCCGTATTGTGGGGGAGACTTATTAGTGTTGGTTCGTGCCTATCTTCGGTGACCTGCAGCTCATACTCTGGACGAGCTGCCTGCTGGTGCTTACCGCCTTAATCAGGCAGACCGAATCCAAGCTCTCTCATTGCTGTGTTGTGGGGAGGCCTTATTGATGTTAATTCGTGCCTGTCTTCGGTGACCTGCGGCGCATAAGCTGCTAGCCGCCCGCAAGTGCTCATCGCCTCACTTAATCAGGCAGACCGAATCCAAGCTCTCACATTGCAGTGTTGTGGGGAGGCCTTATTGATGTTAATTCGTGCCTGTCTTCGGTGACCTGCGGCGCATAAGCTGCTAGCCGCCGCAGGTGCTCACCGCCTCCCTAATCAGGCAGACCGAATCCAAGCTTTCTCATTGCCATGTTGAGGGGAGGCCTTTCTATTTCTCTATTTATCTCTGGGCATTCCTATTTCTCCCATTTTACTTCTATCTTCCAGCATTCCTATTTCTCTCATTTTACTTCTAAACTTCTGTTTCTCTTATCCCTGCGGCTTTCCGGTGCCCGCCCTGCTGGCAGCTTCACGGCTCCGCGCGGCTTCCCGGCGCCTCGCCCCGCCGGCGGGCTCCGCCCCGAGGCTGCTTCTTGGCGCCTCGCCGGCTCTGAGCCACTTCAGCCCGCGCCTCTCTCATCTGCGCGGCTCGGCTTTGCTCGCACACTCCGCGGTCACACACTTAACCCAGCGTTCCCTATCTACTTGAGCCCCGCGCGCTCTGTAGCTGGCGTAGCTTACGTCTCCGCCATTAGCATTCAATCCAAGTTCCCCAGGCCAGCCTGGCGAATTCAACCCAGCTTACGTCTCCGCCCCACGATTTGGCTTCCCGTCCTTTGCTCCCCGGGCTAATCAGACGGATCCCAACCAGGCTTACGTTTCCGCTTCTGGTTTCAACTTTTCGCCCCCCATTCCCGGGCTAACTTGAGAATCCCAAAGTGGCTTTCGTCTCCGCCTCTGCCTGCCCCCCGCGGCTTCAATTTCCCTAACATTTTTCTCTACCCGGTATGTTTCCCCAAGCTTTCTTCCAACAATACTCCTCCCTCATTTCTCCTGGCC